GAGGTGAAGGTAATTGAGAGCACAGGCTACATCTAAACTGATGCTCAGTATGGCAGGATAGGCTACTCCTCCACTTTCTAATTCCTTTCTTAGGCTCGTCGGCATTAGCTCTGTCAGGATCATTGGATTACCCTCTGTAGTTGCTCCTATGAACTGAAGGAGGTTAGGATGACGTATTTTAGAAGCAATATTCATTTCCCGAGAGAACAGTGACACGTTATATTCTGATATGATGGTCTCGTGAAGTACCTTTGCAGCAACTTCCAGTCCATGGAAACGAGCTACTCTGACCTCTCCCCATCCTCCTCTCCCTAGAATCCTTTCTGTCATTCTAATATCATTTCTGCTAACTACCCAGGAAGACTCTCTCTCTTCTCTATCTCTTTCTCTTAGTTGCTGCTGAGCTTGTTGAAGCTGTCGTTGAAGATCCTGTTCTCTTTGCTGGCCACCTTCTACTTGCCTTTGAAGCTGTTGCTCTCTTTCTTGAGATTCTCTCTCTCTTGATTGAAGCTGCTGCTCTGCTTGTTGAAGTTGTCTCTCTTTGTCTTGAAACTGACGTTGGCTTTGTTGAAGCTGTCTTTGAAGATCCTGAACTTGTTCTCTGGCTTGCCTCTCTCTTTCTCTGGCCTGTTGAATTTCTCTCTCTCTTTCTTGTCCTTGTTGCTGTGCTTGTTGAAGTTGTCGTTCTCTTCCTTGAAGTTGTTGCTGTAGTCTGTTTCTAACTTGTTCCTTTTCTCTTCTCTCCTCCTCTAGTTCCCTTTCCCTTTCTTGTAGTACACGTGTCAGACGGTCTATTTCTCTTCTATCCTCAGGTTGAACAGGTTGAGATGCTTCCCATTCTCTTCTCCTTTCTTGTAGTTTCTCTTGATACTGGTCCAGAGGTATTATACTAGTAGACCAATCATTATTACTAGTATATCCTATACAGTAATACAATAGTTAATGACAAGTACATGTACATGTATAATAAAAATAATAATATTAGTTAAATATTAGTTAATAAAGCAAAAGGCAATACCAATACTGTATACTAACGGGTTATTAAGTGTAGGTGCTTATGCAGAAACTGACAGAAAAACAGGTGCTTAATAATGACTCAGCACTTAATAAAGACAGTAGGTGTGGTTTACAATAGCAATCAATTAATCACTTTACCGTTTAGGCTAACTTTAGAATGGCAGTGGGTGAAAAATACTCTTTTGACAGTGTGGTTCGTGGCTACCACATGTATAAAAGTTTCTGGGCTCCTACTGCTTGAACTTCTACTGCTTGAACTTCTACTGCTTGGACTCCTACTGTTTTGTATTGTGCTTAACAAACCCATGCTAAGAGCTACATTGAGTTAGGCGCCTAATAAAAACTAGATGCTTAACAATAAAGGGCGCTTAATAACCCGTTAGAACGGTATTATATTTAATATATTTGTATTTACATGTACTCACTGAGTTCAATAACTGCTGTATCTTTGTATGACATGCTTCCTCCAAACACAATTATCCAGTTAGTGGTTAAAGTCACACTCCACAATGCGAGAGAATGAAAACATCTATCAGTGACACTGACTGGTAAATTAACCTAAATAAAGGAGAATTATAATAAATATAATTTGTAATATTCATGGCAATGTACTGTACATGTACATGCATTGTTATTAAAATTTGACTCAATCCTCAATAGTTTAACCAAAACTGTAAAAACAAGATAAGACTAAACTGCTATCCAAAGATTTCTCCACCACCAAGGAAGGTCAACAAAAATTTTCTTTATTGATGCTAAAGATTCTGATGTTAAATGACAGCCTCAACTAGCTTGTGAAGCGGGCCTACACACTACTGACATGACTGCAGTGACTGCTAACCATCTTCATAATTAGATACTCTTTATTGCTGTAAGCAAGATGACTTTAATTGCTATACAATGTGATCAACTGATGGCAAAAATTATAATTATTTCTAAGCAAGATAGCTACATCAAAAATTAAAGATCTCAGTACTGTATAGATCTAGATAGTCTACATGTGTAATAATTAATGCTTTCCTTGCTATGATGTGCCTGTACATCAAACGTACAGGCACATATATTGTGGTACAGGTACCATAATATAGCATGGCTTGGGCCTGAGCACTTTAATGTTTTACATTCTTCTAGTAATAATTACAGCGAACCTAAGCTCGCCCCACTAAGGCGAGAAAGTGTACATGTATGTCTGTATGTACAGGTAGGTTGTCTAACTATTATTAAAGTTAAATAGCCTAATCTTCATTGAAAGTGGGTGTGGTCACAATGAATAAAATGGCGGCTATCAGCAAGTCTGAGCTTATTTGCAGCAAATGGTCAGCAAGATAAGACTGAACTGCTGTTCAAAGACTTTTCCAGCAGCAAGGAAGGTTGGGACAGCAGATATGCAATCTTTTCTTTCATATAAAGGACTCTAGCTGATAAGCTGAATGCAGGAAGGTCAACAAAGTAGAAGCACAATCTTCTTCAAAATAGTTTTTTTCAGTGACTGCTTCTAACAGATCTTTAATGCTTGCTATAACCAATTGCTGCAGAGATTTTATACAAATGACTCATGAAATTAACTTTGAGGACAAAATTTTTACTTTTGATTGTATTTGCAAGGACATGTACTGTATAGCAGGTAATTTTCGTGGTGCTTTATTTTCGTGGATTTTGTGGTCTTGGGGCTTCCCACAAAATTTAAAACCACGAAATCATTGAAATGCCATCCCCTTACAGGCTATGTAAACTGTCAAACACGAAAATTAAACCACGAATTGCCCCACTAGGAGCAAACCACGAAAATTTAGACCCAAGAAAATAACCCGCTATACGGTATACAATTACTTTACTTGCTCATAAATAATACACTATGGCTTGCTTAGGCTTGCCCCTTTAATGTTTTACATTCATCTAGTAATAATAATAATAATAATAATAATATACTTACCAGTTCCTTCCATGATTTATTGTTGATATCAAATATCCAAATATCTCCAGTAGTACCACCCACCACTAGTAGGTGTGGTCCTGAGCTAGTGTTAATCAATACACTGGAATGAGCATTTCTTCCCTTAGGCCATTGTACTGATCCTCCAGGATTAGATAACTTTGAACAATTCTAAAATAATAAAATAAAATTTAATTATCATAAACCACACCGACATACTCAGTGAATATAATTAATTAATAACTAATGTAATTATACTAATAATACACTCACCACTGATGTATCAGTAAAATTAAGAATATATACATTGTTACTGTATCCATTAGCAGTGTCACCTCCAAATAATATAGCACTGGAATTATTAATTGATGTTAAAGTAAATTCATTAATAGGAGGTGGTCTGTCTCCAGTGACAGTTGGTGATATCCATTGTCCTAAAAATATCAATAACTAGACGAATGTAGAACATTAAATGAGTGAGCCTAAGCAAGCTATAGATTATGTGCTGTATGATCTACATGTATGAGCAAGCAAAGCAATTGCACATGTCTAAATGCAGATCTTGTTACAGTCTTATTGCTTAATTTTTCTCTATCACTTCATTACTGACTTAAACCTGAATCTCTGCAGCAATTAAAGTTATCTTGCTTATAGTTAAAAGCAGTCACACATTTTAAGAAGATTGTACATCTGCTTTGTTAACCTAGACTTGCTGATAGAGAAGAAACATCACCTAGAATATGCATGCAGCTCAGTATAGCTACAGTAGCTACATGACTTGCATTCAACTTATCAGAGTGCTTTATATCAAGAAAAAAGAATGTATAACTGCTCTTCCAACCTTTCTTCTTGCTAGAGAAGTCTTTGGACAGCAGTTTAGCTTTATCTTGCTGACTGTTGGCTGCAAGTAAGCTCAGACTTGCTGCTAGCCACCATTTTATTAATTGTGACCACACCTGCTTTCAATGAAGATTAGGCTATTTAATTTTAATAATAGTTAGACGACCCAATCCCCGTACAGACAAACAGACGCTTATCGCCTTAGTGGGGCTTGCTCAGGCTTGTCCCAATAATAATTGGTATGAATGGAATGCATTGGGTGTAGCAAACTAGTTGATATTTCTTTGATCATATTATCAAATAATTAGGAGTGACAACCATGAACAAACAAGCAAGCAATTCTCAATGCAACCAGTCTGAGTGGAGAACCACCAAATAACAATACTTCATTATATTAATATAAACTGTTGTGCTCTGACCTGTTGAGAGTTTATAAAAATGGATCTCATTGCATCGTTGATTACTAAAAACTAATCCTTTACCACTGTACTGGGAACCAGGTTGTTTGGGTGTATTATTAGAAGATGATCCATATCCTCCAATTACTACAAGATAGTCCTCACCGTTCACTTTTATTGCTATCACGTCACAGAGCCACTTCATCATAGGACCATGATGAGATGTAGTAGGAGAGAGTTCCTTCCAATTGAAGGTATCAACATTAAAACTGTATAAAATATTATATAATATCTATCAGTAGCTGTCATGTTTACCTATATAAACTATTATGAGAACAGGTATCATGACCACACCATCCTCCAAAATAAAATATTTCCCTTCCAATGGCAGCAGCTGCATAATATACAACACCCAGTGGAGGGTTACCAGTGGTGGGTTTCTGCTCCCACCTACCAGTCCTTAGGTGACACACCTCCATCACAGTACACATTGATTTCTTCTCTTCATTATTATGTACTCTAGGGAGACCAGGCTGCCACCCACCCCACATGTACAGGTAGTCTCCTACCCGTACAGTGGAGTGAAAACTCCTCTCCACTGGTTGATAGTCTATAGATAACAAGAGGTAACAGTAACTGAATGATACACTAATAGTAACAACACACGAGTCATAATCAAGTATAAACAAAGTACTGACCTAGTGCTTTGGCTGCCATTGCATTTAATTTGTTTGGAAACTGCCAAATTCAAACTGGAGGACCCGGAGGACGGAGGTATATAGCGCTAGCGCTAGGCTGCTAGCTAGCTACAGCTGCTGTGCATGTGTGGCTAGCTAGCTTGCCTAGCTAGCTACCCCCTTGTATGACGTCATGCAAATAGTTTAATAAACACTTAATAAACTAAACCGGATGTGAGGAAAGTATACCCTATCAACAAAATCTGCAGCAACAACAACAACAACAACAACAATAATAATAATAATAATAATAAGTCAATCAGCCAACAATGCATTATAGTTAAACAAATGTATGTTACATGTACATGTATATAAGTGTACATGTACATGTATTAGTGTATTATAGTATGATATGTTTTATTTTTAGCTCCAGAAGAGGGAGGGGGCAGCTCCGCCCCCTCCGCTAGTAAAGCTATCACCAAACATATCCATACCACCTCCAAACCCACCCCCTGTCCCGGGGGCAGGGGGCAATGCACCAAAAGTATCGTCAAACCCAGAAGGGGCGGGGCCAGAAGTAGTGGGCGGAGCATCAGTGAAGTCTAAATCAGGTGGACGATATGGTAAAGGGGGTGGAGTTTCTGTATTAGTGGGAGGAGCTTGGAATATTGTGGGAGGGGCCAGTTCTGGTTTTGATGTTGTTTTGTCACGAGCTATTGAGACCAGATCAGAGAATGCATCAACTTTGCCCCCGGCCCGCTGAGGGGGTTGACCACCCCCTGGGGGTCCAGCCCCTCCGGTATTAGTGGGTAGGAGTGGCTGAGAGAAATTGCTGTCAAGTAGGGGATCAGCTGGTAAACTGAAAATATCCTGAGATGGTGGGGGCTGGGGGCCACCGGGAAATCCGCCCATGCCCCCTCCACCCATGCCTCCTCCAAACTGAAACTGTCCCATTCCGTACCCGGCAGGAGGTCCCATTCCCATACCTATCGGATAAGCAGTGGTAGTGCTTTGCTGTAGATTACGTATAGCATCCATAAGATCCATCGTAATGGAAGGTTCCTGTACAGGAGGGGGTGGGTAATTAGGGGGAGGGGGCTGGCCGGCCATACCAAATGGGTTTGGTTGTGGGGGTTGGGTTAAATGTAGGCGGGGCTTGAGGCTGATTCCCGTACAGACTAGTAAGAGCTCCACTGCCTGAGAAGACGTCAGATAAATCATCAAACCCGCTTGAGGAGGGAGGGGGGTTGGCTGGAGGGGGAGGATGAGAGGGGGGAGGGGGTTGTACCCCCGGCTGGGGGCGGGTACGTGCTCCTCCTGTTGGGGCTGGTGGTGGTATTATCATGTACTCTGACTGAGCAGTAGGGGCTGGAGCAGGGGCAGACTGGGAGAGAGAAAGAAATTATAAATTAACAATTATATACAATTACATGTATTTGTAATAAAACGCCATGTTTAGAACTTGCACGGAAGGAAATTTAAAGTTAGTTCTTGGCTTGCTCTTTTAGCTAGTAGCTACAT